CCTCCCCTCTTTTTGATTTTGACATGTGTATCACTATGTTATCAGGTGTTGAGCTACAGTTATGAGAAAAGTAATTAATACTCGCAGTCAGCATGCGAATCTATCCACATTTTGATTCTGCAGTTTCTTTTCCCAAACACTGTCCTCTGCTGCTTCAATTCATGTCATCATTTACAGCAATGTAATAGTGCTTATTAAAGTCTTTGTATTGCAGACTTGTCATCTTGATCTCAGAAATAACAGATCAGAACTTAGAGACACTGGGTGGATTTCCTAGGGGGTCAGAAGTATGCTACTCTGACAAAGTATGTTCCCTGACAGAGCATAAAGATCTAAAACCCACCTGGAAGGCTAGCTTGCATAACGAAAGATAATTCTGTAATTACTAAGGGTTTTTAATGTTTCTCCTTTAAATGGCTTTTGTGGTAGAAATGAATTATCTGACATCCTGGAACATCTTCTGTGCTAATGTTAATGGCTTTAGTGACATATTTCTACCTTAAATTTTGTGCCTGACAAAAGACATTGAGGGTAAATGTGTATTTTGTTGACTGACAATCATAGAAAGGAAAGTTCATTGAAACAGGAATCTTAAGCAGTCTCATATTTAAAGGTAAAAAAATAACTTGGTTTCTGTGACTAGACTTTCTGGTGAACTCACAAGAGAGCCAGCATTCTCTGCCATTTGTTTTACAAGCCTATATTTATGTCATTTCTCCTCTGGAGATGAGAAAAAAAAAACAGGAAATACTCCAAACTCACACAATCATTTCTCCTTCGAGAGCCTAAAACTGGAGCTGGCAGATGTATGACTTTAAACAATAGTTTTCAGGGGTGTTTGAGATCAACAAGTCAGGCAAAGGCAGTAGATAATTAGAATGGGATATTGTATAGCATACGTGCTAGGAAGGTAAGAAAAAAACATTGATGTCTGGGATACAGAGCTAAGTGTTAGAATGGGGGACTCACAGCTAAGGTTGGTATCAAAAACCTCAGACATGGACGTGGAACTTAGGAAACACAAGTAAGAGACTTGGAGAAACAAGGATGAAAACGAGAAAAAGAAAGAGGAATCTCTAGGAAGCTCATACGCTGAGTTCCGAGCAGAAACTCTGAAACCTGCTTCAAAAGAAAAATAGAGCAAGAAATGACTGCTGAGAAGTTGTCCTCTGACCTTCACACACAGACACACAGACACACAGACACACACAACTGCTGAGAAGTTGTCCTCTGACTTACACACACAGACACACACACATACCATGTCATGTGCATGTTCTCATTGCCACAAATAAGTCTTTTTTTTTTTAAAAAAAAACAACAGAATGATAAGCATACCAAAAACTTTCAAGGTTTAGAAGTGGAGTGGCGGGTATGAGGATTCATGGACCACGGAAAAACTATGAAAACCCAGGGTCAAGAGTGGATATCGCGACAGTCTAGTAAGGATGATATGCCTTGGATTAGATCTGTCACTGAAAACAATCCCAGATATGGGAAAGTTATGCATTAGGACAAATTGTGCATATTTTGTTTTATATGCTAAATAGACAAATATGCACATATATTTACCAATTATAACACATCTACATGTAATCTACTATACCAGATTATATTTACCTACTTAAGACACTAGGGAACCACCAATGAAAACAGAGTTTATTTGGCCACAATCCTGGAGAGAATAAATGCATCGTTCTTGTCCCCGTCCCCCCCCCCCCCCCCCCCCCCCCCCCCCCGAGCATTATCTAAGTGGCAGCAAGAAGCAACAGAGGCAAATAGCAGGCAGCCGTGCCAACACACTAATGGTAGATAGATGTTGGAGCTGGGGAACAAAGGCCTCTGGGATTTGAGGCACAAAATTCTAGAGAGAAGAAAAGTGAAGAGGTGTGAACTTCAAAATCTGTTTACAAAGTCCCTGCCAATCATCAGTTAACTCCTAAGACACACAGCAAAGATAGAGACTTTAGGAAAGCCACCGGAGCTGTAGTACCTGAAGAATGGAGGGAAGCTTTTAGTGGCTGCACAATGCCATTTTCTAAAAAGTGGAAGGAAGCTTTTAGCAATTGCTTAGTGCTGGGAGATTGATCATGTCCAGGCTCTTCAAGGTAAACAGCCCAGAACATTAGCTATAAGACCTGGCAAAGATCATAACCTAGGGATAAGGACAAGGTGAAGCAACCCAGGCTCAGAATGCCTAAAAGCAAGCATTACTAGGGTGGAAGTGAGCTACTCTTGCCTAGTAACATAAAAATGGAAAATGCAGCCGGGTAGTGGTGGCGCATGCCTCTAAACCCAGCACTCGGGAGGCAGAGACAGGCAGATCTCTGTGAGTTCGAGGCCAGGCTAGTCTACAGAGCGAGTTTCAGGACAGGCTCCAAAGCTACAGAGAAACCCTCTTGAAAAACCAAAAAAGAGAGAGAAAGAAAGGGGGAGGGGGGGCACAAGAGAGAACACTGATAGAGCTAAATCCTCTATAGTTTTTGTTTCATACTATATGAATTAAGCAAAATGTCAAGAAATTAAGTTAGGGGAATAGCTAACACACAGAACAGGGCCAAATACCGGCTTGCATAAATTTGCATAAAACCTTTAAATATGATCAAAATATTAAGAAAATAGAGGGTGGTGGTGTGCAATACTTTAATCCCAACACTCAGGAGGCAGAGTTAGGGGGATCTCTGTGAGTTCAAGGCCAGTCTGGTCTACAGAGCAAGTTCCAGAACAGTCAGAGCTACACAGAGAAACCCTATCTCTGAAAAAAAAATATAATAATCAAAATAAAATAGAAAAAAGCAAAAGGATTTGATCAGAGCCTTGGAACTTATTTAAGTAGAAGGACCCAAAGGAAAGCTTTGGGTTTGAAAGTGTGACCAGTGATGGAGGTAAAGGCTCACACAGCAGTCTCTATGCAGTGGGATCGAGTCTCTACCCATGGGCAGCAGATCAGTAGAAAATACTCAACTTTAAGCTAGTGTGTTAAGTTGGGAGCGTAGCCCCCAGCCTCCAGGCCTGAGAGTGGTATTGGTCTGGACTCCAAATCCCAGGATACCAGGTCCTGACCCCTCCCTGAGGGGGTCAGGACCACTCCCACAGAGTATTTAAGTGAACTCCCAAAAGAAGATCACGTGATCCCCTTTCCTTCCTCCTGGTTGTCACATTCAAGGTCTCCTGGTTCCCTCTTGGGCCACCTGAGAGTGCAGAACTCCCATTAAACCTGGATATTTCTTAATTTGGCTTGATTGGGAATTTGCGTCGGCAGAGAGCTTGCATTAGGAAAAATTTTCTTTTTCTTTTTTTTTTTTTTTTTTGGTTTTTCGAGACAGGGTTTCTCTGTGGCTTTGGAGCAGGAAAAAATTCTAACATCGTGTGTACACACACACACACACACAAGAAATACAGACAAGAGTGCAAGAAACATGAATGATACATCAAAAATTTTTAACATACATGGACTTTAACTTACATAATGCAAAAAAGAAGGACAGGACAGTATTTAAATACTGGTCAATGTTTTTCTTTTCACTTCCTTCCTTCCTTCCTCCCTCCCTCCCTCCCTCCGTCCCTCCCTTCTTCCCTTCCTTTCTTTCTTTCTTCTTTGTTTTCTTTCTTGAGACAGGGTTTCTCTGTAGCTTTTGAGCCTGTCCTGGAACTTGCTCTGTAGATCAGGCTGGCCTCGAATCACAGAGTGATCTGCCTACCTCTGTTTCTTGAGTGCTGAGATTAAAGACAAGCACCACCACCTCCTGGCATTTGTCCATATTTTTCAGAAGCTGATGAAAAGTGTCAGATCACATGAGAAAAACTATGAAATTTTAAGCAGAATGAATATAACACATAGACTTAGTGACAAACTCAAACTGGTTGAGAGCAAAGAGAAGGAAAAAAAAAACCCTTTAAGTATTAGAGCATGTTATCTTCAAAGGTGCAATAATCAGATTGATGGCTGACTTCTGCACTGGAATAATGACAACCAGAAGACAATGAAAGGTCATTTTTAAAATGCCGAAAGCTTAAAAAAAATTAACAGACTAATATGGAATTCTATACCCAGCAAAACTACCTTTAAAACTGATGAGATAAAAATGCTTTCAAATTAACAAAAAGTGAGAGAATTTGTTGTCAGTATACCTAAACTGTAAGAAATATTAAAGGAAAATTTCCTCTTAAATGCAAAAGACAAAGGGAAGTATTGAACTCTGGAGAAACGAAGAGCGACCAGGAATGAGTGGCTCTGATCCCATCTCTATTCTAATACCCCCTATCCCAGTGGGATAATTTGATGTAAAATATAAGTTCATATAAAATTGTAGACGAGGCACAGACAAGCTAGAATTTTACATTAATCCCACATGTACACTGTTAGTTTAACTCAGTAAAGTCTAAAAAATTTAAAAGAAAAAAATGAGAGCTGGGCATTGAGGGACAGAAGTTAAGGCAGCAGTTTGCTTATAGGGGTCAACGGCTGTCAGTGTATCAGAGGACAAGAATATCTGTGGAGATGTGGGACTAGGGACCCATGGATGATATATTTTCACAGTCCTGTCAGGCATCAAGATGAGCTGCGACAGATTCAAGATGTACTCATTATTATATGTATGCAAGTGGTGCAGGAATCTCCTAAAGCATTCGGATCTCCACAAGCTGGTGCTGCAGGCAGAGTTGTGAGCTTGTGGACCCGGCTATAGTAGATTTAAGGGTTAGCCAAAACAAGTATGGAGATGAAGATGGCTGCAAGTTCGAAGCCAGCCTGGTCCAAAATAGTTACAGATCGGGCAAGTGAGGCCGTGTGTTCAAAAGAAAAAAAAAATATGGTGGTTGCCATGGCAGGCAGTTGGGTCGTGGTGGTGGGCTAAAGGGCAGAGGTCAGAGGCTCAGACCTGAGGTGGCAGCGGTTGCAACAGGGGCGCACCGGCGGTTGGGCGTGGGCGCCCCAAGGACACGCCCCCTCCGCCCCGCCAGCCCCGCCCACTGCCGCTCCGGGCTCCGAGCGGAGCGCGCCGACCACAGGGAGCGAGCAGCGTGGGGATCCCGCGGCGGTCGGGCTCGCGCGGCGCCCTCGCTCCCCCTCCCCTCAGCCCTAGGGCCGCGCGGCCCGCGCCGCTCCGAGAAGATGGCGCTGCACTTTCAGGTCAGTGCGCCGGGCTGCGGGCCTGGAGCTCCGGCGGTGGCGGGTGGCGGGCGGCGCGGGGGGGGGGGGGGGGGGGGGGGGGGGGGGGGGGGGGGGGGGCCCAGGCCGCGACCCCGAGCGAGCACAGCCCCTTGCCCGGGGACGGCGAGTCGGCGGCGGGTTGCGCTCGCCCACCCGATTCCGCCCTCGTCGGCGTGGGCTGCAGCGATGTCCGGGCAGGTGGGAGCGGTTGCGGAGGGGCCGCCTGGCAGCCCTCACGCCCAGCCCGCGGTCCGCGCCCTCCCGGGGAGCCTGGGCTCGGAGGCCGGGGCGGCGGGAGCGCGGGAGCGCGGCTAGAGGATTGTCATTGGCCGGAGGCGGGCGGGCGGGTCGGGGCCCGGCGCGGCCGGGAGCGCGCAGCCTCATTGGAGGAGCCTCGGGGGCAGGGCGCGGGCTGCGCTGGAGGGGTGCGTCTGCCTGGTGGCTCCGGCGCTCAACGGGTCTTCGTCCCACCGGCGTCTACGGAGCCTCCCCACTGGTGTCTGTACGGTGGCGGAACGTTCTGGGGCTGCGGGGCGACATCAGCTACCGCCCTTATCCTTTTAGAGCGCGCAGTAATTACTGCACACGTGAAAACTGTTATGGTAGAATTAGTCACGGGATATCGCGGGAGCACCGAAAGCGGGCAGGCGATCGCGTCTGCAGAGTGGAGCCTCCACTTGTTACTTGGTTCCTACCGCTGGTACATATGCCTCTGAGCAAACTCCAAGGAACGCAGGGATTGTCGGAACTGTAGATGACCAGGCAAAGAGGAAAGGAAGACCACAGAGGCAGAAAGACGGTGTGGGCAAAGCAAAGGATTGTGGAAGACCTTGACATCCTCTGAAAGCTTGTTCCTGGATCCTAAGACTAATTGGAAAAGAAAGAGCTCAGGGGAGATGTCGCCTGGCAGATGACCTTAGAGAAGTAGGCAGAGTCTTAACTTGGTGAAAATGTGTCTTTACCCTTTTAGACTTATACAGATCCTCTGGTCACACGAACTTAGTGCTTTATTGCTTCTTCTAAGGGGTGTTTCCAAGCCGGAAATAGACCCACATTCTATGTTTTGACTTACCCTTTTTCTTTTGTTGTTTGTTTATGTGTCCCAGGTCAGAATTGCATACTTATTGTTACTTTAGTAAATACGCCCTGTGGGGATTTTTTTACAGGGAGAACTTACTGTGAATCATAAGTAGATAATCAGATGTACATAGGACAGGTATGTCTTGAGTAAATTAGAAGGTATGGAAGAACTTTGGAACTTCTTTGGACTTGGAAAGATGGTGCCTGGTAAATTGCCAAGTCCTGGAAGCCTTCATACCCAAGGGCAGTATTAGAAAAAGTTAGATGTTGATGCCCAAACTGGTCATATAGTCCCAGAAATATTCATTAAAGTAACATTTTTTAGGGCATTGCTTCAGTGTCTTTTTCCCACTTGCTAATTGACATAAATGTCCCCAGGGCAATGCTGCCTGTGTGGACTGGCCATGCTGTGCTTTTTACCCTTGAATCCATGTTCTTACTTTCTGGAAGGCAGAGGAAGGCATCATTCCTACAGTCAGTTCAGTCACAAGCATCCTTGTTCAGAGCCAGTGAGTTAGGGTGTATTCTTGTCTCCAAAGAAGAAATGGATCTGGGTTGTCTTTGAGGAGGAGGTCCAGGTTGGGGAGCACAACGAAGAGCAACAGAATCGGGAATAAGTAGCCTACCTATGATACGGCGAAGCTTAGTGGACTTGAGTGGTTTGCTCTCTGAATGGTTTTGGAATCAGAGACCATTAGCTAGTCTTCTAATCCCTACTTCGGCTGGTGATTGACTCTAGACGTGAGTGAGGGATGCACAGTGTTAGGTGATGAGCAGTGGCTTGGGAAAGGTGGCCGTTGTCTGAAGTGTGGCAGTCACTGGGACACTCCCTTTCTACTTTACCCTTCACGGTGGTTTCTGATGTTTCCTCTATAGTTTCAGCAGTGAGACTTGGGGAAAGCAGTGATCACTCAGTAAGGGAGTGTCAGATCCCAAAGCTTATGCCCACTCATTGGACCAGTGTTTACTCTGACACGTTCCTCTCATTCCTAAGCAGCCTCTGGAGAAGTCCAGAGCATTGGAAGCCATATTGGAACATTTCCTTAATTGCCCCAGTGTTTGAGTATTAGTGGGATCTTCACAGAGAAGCGGTTGGTAGAGCTGGATGAGTAAAGGAAATTGCTGTGCACCTGGAGCTGGCCACAGTCCATAAAAGTCCTCCTGGCACCAACAGCAAATTCAGGGATTTCCCACAGCCACCCCGAGGTCTGTCAGTTTCTCAGTAGGGCTTACGGAGTTCATCAAGATGATCAATTATCAAAATTATCGAATTCGTAATTGTGATTCTTTATAGGGAAAGAAGATTGGCTAAAGGGAGACACATAGAGGATAATCTGAAGATTCTAAAATACATCTTCTTTTGTCCTCGGAATAGGATATTCTCCTGGTATCCATGTTGCATGTACCACTGTAAGGTGGGAAGGCTCACCTACTCTCTAGTACCCACAGTGTTTATTGAAGATTCATTACTTAGACATGACTGATAATTTTGAGTTCCACTGGTAACCTGTGATCCCAAATCATCACCCTAAGCCAAAACCTTGAACCTGTGACTAGGTATGGTCAGTGCTTGTACTAAAAATATAACTGCTGTCAACTATGACAGAAATTGAGGGCAAAGGCCAGAATGTCTTAGGGTTTCTTTGGCTGTGAAGAGACACGATGACCATGGCAACACTTACAAAGGAAAAAACATTTAATTGGGGTGACTTACATTTTTAGATTTAGTCAATTATCATGATGTGACATGGTGGTGTGTAGGCAGACATGGTGCTGGAGAAGAAGCTGAGTGTACTACATCTTGACTTGCAGGCAACAGGAAGTGGTCTGTGATACTGGGTGGTCTCTTGTGCATATATGAGACCCACAGTGACACACTTCCTCCAACAAGACCACCTGCTCCAACAAGGCCATACTTCCTAATAGTATTACTCCCTTTGGAGGACATTTCCTTTCAAACCACCACAATCACTTTTTTAAAAAATTCTTTTCTTCTCTCATATTCTAACTGCAGTTTCCCCTCTAACCTCTCCTCCCAGTCCCCTTCCACCTTACCTGCCCCCCCCCCCCCCCCCATCCACTTCACTTCCATATTCCTTGTGAAAAGGGCAGGCTTCCCAGGGATATCATCCAAACATGGCTTATCGAGTTCCAATAAGACTAGGCATGTCTCCTAGTTAAGGCTGGATGAGGCCACCCAGGAGGAGGAACAGGGTCCCAAAAGCAACCTAAAGAATCAGAGACAGCCCCAGCCTCTACTCCCTCTGTTAGGAGTCCCCCAAGAACTCCAAGTTACACAACTATAAAATATATGCAAAGGGCCTAGGTCAGTCCCATGCAGGCTCCCTGGTTATTGGTTCAGTTTCTATGAGCCCTGATTAGTTGATTTTGTGTGAGGGGGTTTTATTTTTTTATTTTTGGAGTGTGTGTGTGTGTGTGTGTGTGTGTGTGTAGTCCTTGACCATCTATAATCCTCCCCATCTTCCACAGGATTCGCTGAGCTCCACCTATCTTTGGCTGTGGGTCTCTGCATCTGCTCCCATCAGTTGCTAGATGAAGCCTCTCTGATGATGGATATGCTAGACTCTGGTCTATAGTAGAGCAGAATATCATTAGGAATCATTTCATTGGTTTATTCCTAGGGCTTTGGGCTATCCATCCTCTGGGTCCTGGCACTCCCCAGACAGTGTCAGGTGTGGGCTCCCTTTTGTGGCATGGATCTTAAGCTGGACCAGTCTTTGGTTGACCACTTGCACAAGGTCTACACCACCTTCACCCCAGCACATCTTACAGGCAGAACAAATTGTAGGTGGAAGGTATTGTGGCTGAGTTTGTGCTTCAATCCCTCCACCTGAGGCCTTGCCTGGTTACAGAAGATGGCTGGTTCAGGCTCCATGTCCTGCATTACTAGGAATCTTGAAGGCATAAGTCACGAACAAGGCCACACCAGTTTGGAGTTATGATTAATAGGGTGTTATTTATTTAAAGGGGAAAAAAACTTACAGATCACCATCCCAGACAACAGCCATCTGCACAACCAGGAAGGGAGTCTAGTCTCCAGAGGAGCAGGAAGAGAAGAGAGCGAGCAGAGGAAATAGCCGCTTTTTTAAAGGGAGAGAGACCACACCCCAATGGGCTGGTATCACAGCAGCTATTGGTTGGAGGGGCGGAAGGACCTCCCGCAACAGAATCTTAGCTGGTGTCACCCTTGTAGATTCCTGGGAGTTTACATTGATTGAACTAGTGGCTACCTCACCCCGATTGCCAGAGGATCAAAGGAGAGGGAAAACAGAAGACAGCATGAAGCTTGTGAATCTAGGTCCTGGCCTGGAGCTCCAGCACCACTGGAAAAGGACACTTGGAGTAGAGATCTGCTGGAGACATGTTTAGTTTGGTTTCTGCTGGTTGGCTGTGTGTGTGTGTGTGTGTGTGTGTGTGTGTGTGTGTGTGTAGGTTAAAAGTAGGAATTAGACATTGGTGGCAGGTAGACAGTGACTAAAGAATGGCAGATGGTGAGGGAGGTGCCTGTTACATGTAGACTTGTCATTGACTTAGTTTTGCCTGTTTACTAAATGACTCTGTGCAGCCTACATGCACGTGCCCTCTCAACTTATATAGTTGGTAGGAGTCTGGTTTTCAGAATTGACTTAAGAAAAGATGAGAATACTCTGGTAAACTGTGAGGCACCTAAAGAACTATTTGGTTGTTGCAGAGGTACTGTAGTTTTGCATTGTGGAAATATGTCATTTGATATTCTTAACACATGTGGTTATGTTGTAAATCATATGTATTTTTTAATATGTATTTTAATATGTATTTCTCACTGTATGCTTTTTGCTTGTGATATTACTGTTTATTTTTGATTTACATTATAGAAATGATGAAGACAAAAAGCAAAT